TCTCAAATCATGTTGGAGAAAAATATCATTAGGTTTTACAAAAACGTTTGGAGTATTTTCTTTTTTTTTCAGGTTAACTCTAACTCAAATTATTATTAATGTGTAATGAAAAAAAGAGAGAAATCTTTAATTAGAGAAAATGCTAATTAGAAGCATTTTCACTAATAGTTGACTTTTCCGCCCCACTGTTTGTCTTGTGCATTAAAATGAATAAATAAGCTGTATAACTGTGTGGGAGTTACACACCAGACTTTTCTTCCGCCCTCAAATCAGAAACGCACTGATGTATGTGGCGTAAGAAGGATTTGTCTCCATTCTTCAGGGAGAGGCTTCGTCTCCATCTCAATTAGTATTGGAGAGACTGAGATGCAGTGTTTTGAGAGGGAGACATCTTTATTCATGTGTGCATCACTGTGATTGGCATGGCCTCCAGACATGATTTCTCTCTGCTCAGGAAGCCAGCCAGATGTTATTGATATTCACAAATGTCTGAAATTTGCATCTGAATACTTTCTTTGCCCAGACCAATATTACGACAGTAACGAGAGCCGTGGCATTAGGTTCAAGGTGAGAAAGGATCAGAGAACAACCGGATGTGCGCTTAGTTTAATGTGAGTAAACTGTGTCTAGTGCATTTCCTGTGGCATCTCTAATCCTTGCTTATGTGCTTGTGTAAAGGGGTTATTTTGTCTCTTTGTGTACAAGCGGTGCATTTGTAAATGTGTATCTATCTATAAATTCATATCACATGTATGAAATGATGTTAACGGTGCATTCTTTATTACTCTTTCTTGGATGGATGAGTTGTCTTATGAATGTGGATGAATTTCATTCTTCATATGTACTTTAGACATGAAGAACATATTTATGCATGTCTGTAATGTGTGTTGTGTACCAAGATGAGACCAATATTGGTCATATCCGACATAAAGGATCCGCAAATGAATTTGTGACCACAAACATCATTTACTTATTGACACAAATAACTATTTGAATGCTTCATTGATATAACATGACACTGAGTTGTTAGAATAGAAATGCATAGTGTTATAATTGTGTGATGACGTAAATAACCGATTAATCGCTTTTTTGAACGGGTTCATTGAAACAAAATGTCGCAAAGAACCGGTTTGTGGAAATGAATTGGACTTTATAGATGGTTGTATGTGAAAATCCCAGATCGTCAGTTTCTGAAATATTCAGTCTAGCCCCTCTGGCACCAACAACCATATATATATATATATTTTTTTTTTTTTCTAAGTCACCTATCTTCTCCAGCCTGATGGCAAGTTTGAACACCAGCATCTTAACCAGCATCTTAACCATGTCTACATGTCTAAACTACATGGCTGATTGGATATTTGCTTTAACAGTTGAACTGGTGTACCTGTGAAGTGGCTGGTTAGTGGATATAACACACACACACACACACACACACACGGTATGTCGAAAGTTCATTTGCATTTGTTCTAGACCATTCGATTTGATGTCATGGTGCCTTGTCTGAATGTAGTTTCCACTTCTTTATTTTTTCATAATTTATAACTTCCATAACACACACACACACACACAGATCTGTGTTGTTTAGTGATGTGTATTCTCACAGTCTTCTCAGTAATACTGATGACATGATGCAGCCCACTAATACAGGAAGTGGGGAAATCTGAGCTCTGCCCAATCAGTAATCATGCAAATTGATGATGAGCTGATTGAAGATAGGGGCTGTACAGATTTTACACAGCATACGAGACAACATGATCAAATAGTTCTTGATTAAGCAGTAAGTTGGTTAATGGGAGCTTTTATTGGTTTTACCTTTGCGGCATAATCCACTACCACTACCCTTAATTACAAATATATTGTGATGAGCATCAAGAATAGATAACAAGAGGTAATGGTTATTGCTTGCTTAGTTATAGGGAATTGTTTATTTTTATTATTATTATTATTATTATTATTATTATTATTATTATGAATTCTTATTTTAATAGCATAAATACAATAATTTAATAAAAATAAAGTTGTGTTTGTGCGTCAGTGTTCTGTATCAAATGTTCTGCCCACATGTTGATCTACATTAAGCTAGTTATAAATACTTCAGGACCCGTTCTTTGGCCTTTTGGTTAAGCACATCTGTCAGCACTGGCTACTGTATTGTACAGTCTGTTCAGAAAATCTAAATCCAACAATTGTTTGACAGTTCACTCATTTGTGAAAGTATCCAAAGCGACTTACATTCTTGTATCCTTGAAAACTCATAAACTTGACATCAATATTGCCATGTTCTACTAATGGAGCTACAGCATTCCATTTTTTTTTTTTTTTTTTTTTTGGGATTGCTAAACGACAGTGAGTACAACTGGAGCTACAGTTAAAACTTTAACACAGTAAATCACCCAATAAGCTATTACTGTTCCACTCAACATCTACCAAAATATTTAAAAATGAACTATAATTATGTGTAATGGAATTAGTGTAACATGTACAGTTACATGAGCAAATTAAAGGCACACTATGCACTCTCTGGTTTTTTTGTAAAACAGTGACCTCTAGAGCCGCTGTGGTGTACTTGCACTGTCGTAAATAACCGTTATTCCCCTGTTACTGCATATCTACTGAACTACTGTCAAGTGCTAGACTGCTTTTTAATAATAAAGTTGCCTATCGCGTTTGCTGGCTTATAGCGTTTTTACATGATTTCTGCAAAATCAGAAGTAAATAGCCTATAGTGTATAGGCTACTGTATAATTTCATTCATGTTTTTTGATTGTAATGTAAACATTACAAAATGTCAGATGACATCAATCAAGTTAAATGTACGTCGCATTATTTCATAACATTGGACGTTATGATTTAGACATGATTACAATTTATCATAATAGCAAATTGTGTTCAATTATTTACAACCTCTAGGCTTATACATGTCCTAATAATTATGTGAGATATTGACTATGTCCTCATAGTAATCGCAAGAATCAACATCAACAGCGTCAAGATTTGATTGATTCATAATCAACACAATTTGAAGTTACAGTCGGGAAGTGTACTGTTAGTCAGATAAACTTGATATAACAGTAACTTACACACGTCATAAGAAATCCGAACCAGACACAGGACTAAAGATACGTGATAAATACACATCACAACACCTGAGTTCAGCTGGCAAACTAGCTCTTGTGGCAAGCTCGGCAATAAAACATAACGAAAAAAACAACAAGACTAAGAGAAACTACTGTTTTTAGGAAGTCTGCTTAAAGCTCTGGTAATCGAAAGCTATAGACATATGTGAGAATTATTGAACTGGTCTTATTATCAACAACGGATGAATGAACAACAGCACCGTAAAAAATGACATACTACAAGCCAGTGCAGCAACATACAATATAGAAACAAGTATACAAAAATACAAACAAGTTTATAAATAAGAGATTTACTTACAAGTCCATCAACAAGATCGCCAGGTCAGCATCGCAGTTACAATCCAGTGCAGCTTTTAAGCTCGCGCCAACGAGTGAAAGCCCGACCGAGTGGACTCTTGTCCGGTTTCTAGCACGGTCCGATTCTCTTTCCCTTTTTCGAAAGTAGCTTCATACAGTATGATGTTGTTGATGCGTGTGACGTCGTTGCCGTAAACCATTTCGTGATTCTCACGCGCTGTGTCAGGGCAACGCATTCTCATCCTTTAACGTCATATAGAACGCTAGTGACAAAACGGCGCTATACTACGCACATGGCACCCGTTATCGTTAATATAACACGTGCTGTGAGGGCTAAGTTTAGGTGTGGGGTAGGGTGTACGTGTCATATTCACGCTAAAGGATTTATAACGTCTTGGGTTCGCGTGTTATATTAACGATAAAGGGAGCCATGTGCGTAGTATAGCGCCGTTTTTGCATATAGCGTTCTATATGACGTTAAAGGATGAGAATGGGCTGGTCAGGGGCGCCACTCTCAAACTTGCATGGCTGGTTTTTCCGGCGGCGTCCCCCCCAAGCTTTCCTACCAGGATGATTCGCCCTACTATGACTTTGTTAACCACCAAAACGACTTTGAAGCTGTTATATTAAGGTACAGATCTTGCATAGAGTGCCTTTAAAATGTCATGAATATTCTTTTTGGTTCCAGTTTTTCAGCACTTTTAACCACTGAAATATTTAGTGAAGAGCTTATGCGTGTGCTTGATTATCAGTCGGTGCCAAGCTCATATGATAGAGTCTCGTGCTGACCTGGGGTCAGTTTTTTTAAGCACTTTTGTGACTTTATGATGTGAACAGTGTCTGCATGCTGCGTTAATCTTGTGTTTTCTCAACAGTGTGTGCCAATGTTAACATTAATCCTGATTAATCCTCATTACCCCTAAAAGCGTTGTACCATAACCCCTCCGCCCTGCCCAACCAGACACGTCCATCAAACCCTGGTGCCGTTCCTTGCCTTCGATCTCCTGCGCTGAACATCGCCAGCTAATCAGCTAGCATAAATAAACTGCTCGGCCAGCTCCTAGCCCCAACTATTTCCTCAAGGAGCAAAGCTGTTCAAATGAAAGGAATGGATTTGTATTTCTCTCTAAGTAAATGGAGAAACTGCAGCGTTTGATCTCTGCGTGCCTCTTATTTGAAAGAAATCTCCAAGTACTGTAGATCCATTTATTTTGTTGATTCATTTAACAATAATGATTATTAAATATATATAAAATAAATAGGGACAATGTGTACTTTTTATATATTCTATTATTTAAAATCAATTTGTATTCATAAATAATGTCCTCAAAGGTGTACAAATACCTCTGCCAATTATCTGACTTATCCTCGTAAACGAAGAATTTATTATCTTTATATACATGGGACGTATACATGGGTAGGTCCACGGAGGCTCCGCCATCTTGAAAAACTATAATAGCAGAGAGGGACAAAAAGTACCAGGCCAACGCATTTCCACAACACGTTTTCGTTCAGAGCCAGCGTGAATTAATGTCAGGATTTGTTTTTTTTTTTTTTTTCTAGGATAGAGCTAATGCTGGAGAAAGAATCCAAAGAGACGCTGAAGTCCTGCTTTCTTCTCAACAGGTAAGTCAATGTTACAGTCTTGATTGCAAGCTATTTTTCATTGCTTTATTGTGTACTTTATTTTATAGACGGATGAACATATATAGTTAAAAGTTGTTGATGATATCTAACAATGCACGTACTTCAGAAAATATAAAGAATAAACAAGGCATAACTACTTACAATTGCAATAGTTCATGTTTTTCACACTTAGTAATTCATACTGTAACATTCGTTTGTTCGTTGTGCCAAGTTGCCGTTTGTTTTGAAATAACAAACCTGTTCACCCGAAAAAAACACTCGACGAAGTACTATCAGAAGATATCCTGCTTTTGGTACATAATGGCTACCGTAGATGCAACACACATTTGAAAAAGCGAGGCGCTGGAGAGCACAATTTGTTTGAATGCAAAATACAATTTCACCGCTAGATGGTAGAAATTCCTACACATTTTCTCTTTAAATAAAACACTCTGGATACAAGAACATCTTAGGGGTTATCAAACATGATATTATTTTGTGCAAAATGGGAGGTGAGGGGAAATCTTACAAAGGTTTACCAAACTTTGTCTCACTGGAATGCACTTCATTGAAGCCTCATATCCCTCTACGCCCTCCCATCACTCTCTCCTCCCTCTCTTATTTTTTCGGTTCCGCTTGGCTTCCATTAATATAGGGCCCATCTGGCTTACCAGGGGATATTTAAACAGAAACCCCATCAAGGGGTTCAGTCAAAACCATATGCCGCTGCTTCTACTGTACACAGTGGAAGAGGACAAGCATTTAATCAATTGTGATTGAGAGGTTAAAAACCTGTGTGTTCAGCTTCTACCTGCAATGGTTGGAGGACTTGGACAGATTTGCAGTCAAACTGACTGGGACGTGAAATGTCTTTAATTACGGTTATGAAGTTTCCTTAGAGAGTCTTTGAGAACATTCATTGAAGCCATTGTTAAGTGGAAACTTAAAAAGATAGTTCACCCAAACTTGAAAATTCTGTCATCATTTGCTCACCCTTGTCTCATTCCAGATCTGTATGACTGTTGTTTCATCTGTGGAACACAAATTAAGATATATATATATATATATATATATATATATATATATATATATATAAACATTTTAGTGCATAGAGTGAAGATTGAAGATGGCGAGGAAATGTCATGAATTAGACTTGACTGTATTCACCCCCTGACAAAGAGTTGAGGGTCATTTTGCTCCATGCAGCAAGTTGGAGACCATATGGACTATGTTTTTCTAGAGACAGTTGTAAGAGTGACCTCATTTAGAGTCCTCGTCCACAAAGTATGTTGAGAAAACAGAGACATTTTCAGTCTGGCATCTAGGAGTCAACCTTTTTTTTTTTACTTAAAGGACCCCCATTGTCTACACAATATTCTAAGACCCCTCATATAAGGTAAGACATTTCAATTGCATTTCTGCTGCAACTATGCCAAAACTGTATTCAACTTTTTTTTTTTTTTTTTTTTTTTTTAGAAACTGGAAGTGGAAATATAGTCAATATATAAACCACAGTTCATTTCGGGATTCTAGAAATAGTAGATTTTAAATGTAAATTTTCATGTAGTATGCTAATGTTTATCTGTTCATGTGTATGTGCATACTAAATATTTAGATAGATAGATAGATAGATAGATAGATAGATAGATAGATAGATAGATAGATAGATAGATAGATAGATAGATAGATAGATTTACAAACATTGCTCAATAAAAGTATACAATATTAAAAAAAAAAAGCTCTTACTGGCTCAAAACGTTAACCTATGCATGTGAGAATGTCTCTCCCTGCACCTAACAGACATGGAACCATGTCCAACATGCAGCCTGGCTTCAGAGATAAGAGTTCTACTGTCAAATGCCAGACTGGACAGATCATGGTGGACTATGGTCTCTTCAGACATCAGACAGGCGTATTTCCATTCGGAGATCTTGAGGGTGCACATGTGTGTCCGTCAAAGAGACAGTTTGTGTCCAGAAAGCAGTTCGGGAGAAGCGTGACAGTAGCTCTGTCTCTTTCCGTATGACCAGCAGAGATTATCTTTTACTCCAGCGGCGATAAACTCAGACAGGTCTGACTGCTCTCTGTATTTTATCGTGTTTTCTTTCTCCCCCCCTCTTTCCTCAAGTTATACTTTTGAAGCGAAACCATGCAATTGCTAATATATTGAAAGTTGCAGGTATATTGCACCATCATTGGACCATTTTCAGAGGCAGAGAAAAAAAATTATAGTGCATAACACCAATTGGCTCTTTCCATAAATATGCTACAAAATTGGGCCTCTTAAAGTCTTTTTAGACCAAATGTTATAAATAAAACAATGCTTTACTTTTCCAAAAATAATAAATAAATGACTATCTGTAAATGGAATTTGTGCTTATAATGCTTTTAAAAAAAATATGGGGCACCAAAATGTCCTAAGAGTGGAAAGTTTCACTTCCATTTTGGCAATCTGAGATTTTTAGTTGACAAACCGTGTGTGTCATAGTCCTGTTGATGCAGTCGTGTCTGTTCGCCCCCGATAACCTTTGACCTGATGCTAGAACAGTCATGCTCTCATCCTGCTCTCTCTATCTCTATCTCTACTTTTATTTCCTGCCCACTTGCATTCCAAAATCTTGCTTACAGTGGCTTTGGTCCAGGATACACTGGAACGAAAATGTTCTGTTGCCAAAATAATGACTCAATACATCGGTAACAAGAGAGTAAATGTTAGCTGATTTCTTGAGCCTTTTTGCAACTACAAGCCCAGTGTGTTTTCCAAAAATATGACTGTTATTTGTGTGTGTATTCACTAGTTTTCAGGTAACGGCAGCTGTTGTATGTTCTCCTACTCATCCGGCTCTCCGACACGCTCATTCAAGCCCAGTCCTGTTTCTACTCCAGCACATGGGCATATTTTCTCTGCCATAAAACGCTGAGCTTTATAAATAAACCTCTGATTCTGCTCATCTCTCATGCCGCTGCTCTCCACTGTACTGCCTCCAACACCAGCCACGCGCAATTTCACCCTGGCTCGCCATAGTCCCCAGCAAACTTGGTTCCTCTGTCTCTTACAACAACAACCTACCTAAAATACTTCCTCTGCTTCAGCTCTTCCATTCCCTGCTTTTCTCTGATCTGTCTTTAAAAGCATTGTGTCAGGTTTCTTTTCTTACTGTTTATTTGTCTCGGCATCCTAGGCCATCCTGGAGAAATTATTGCTGCTCTTTTTTCCCCCCTTCTTTTTGGAAAGATAGATGGTGGAGTCAAAAGTTTGATGGATGTTCAATCACAACAAATAAAAGCCAGGGAACGCAAATAATAAAAAGAAGTTTGGGATTCCAGCGGGAAATCGGTTTGGACGGTGCAGGTGGCGATCTGTAAATTGTGTGCAGGATGATATTTCAGACGAGATCGCTCCTCTTGAAACGCACATGTCAGAAACCATCATTTTGATGCTAAGGTAATCACAGCATTTGTTTTTAGATATGACGTGCACTATCCGCACCATATGCTAACTGGGGCTTGTTGGATTCTCTGGTAATTTCTTTAATAAATGCCATAAGCAGAGACTGCTGGGCTCACTTTAACCAGCCTCTCTATATCACTTCTCTATGTAGGAGTTTTGTATTGAGCGCAGTCTGTTCAGCTTGGCAAGAGGATGCGGGTGGCTGGCATTTGGAGCTAACCATGCATCTCACCCTATTACAGTAAATGTTACTCTGTCAGGCAAGCAATTCAGCAATAAATAAAGCAGAGCAAACATTATCTGAAAAGCTCCAAAACAGGCAGAATGGAAACACCGCCTTTTCATGTCCAGTGATCCCTGAATACATGAGATTCATAGTCCAAATAGGAACAAAATGTAGAAGACGCATTGTGTATTTCATATAAGGTAATTTGTTATTTCTGGTCTGTATTATTCAATTTTCTAGTCTCAACTATCAACTCTTTTCTTGCTTAAACGTGTTAGTGTTCAACAGGTCAAGTTGACATGAAAGAGTTTTCATAACCCATTTTACTTCATAATTTGACCTATATTCAAGTGAAATGCAACAGGATTTGTTTTCTAATCCATGTTCCCCTTTTTCACGTTAAATCTATTTCATATTTTTTTATCCATTGGGAATTAATTGGATGGTCTATACCAGAATAGAGCCGGGCTAAAATTTTAGTTTGTTGATACAATGCTAAATATCTATTTGGATTGTTGTTAAGATTAGATTTATTATTTTTTAATATTATATTTTTATTTTTTATGTATTATATTTGTCTTTGGAATAACATGCACTGATGAATTGTGCACAATGAGAAAACATAAGGGAACATGAAATTTGGGCTTTTGTAATGAAATCACTAGTCTCGTTATATTTCAGGCAGCATGTGTAAAGTAATATCTTTTTACTTTTCACATGCTGCCTGAAATAGAATGAGTTTTTTTTTTTTTTTTTTTTTTTTCTGCAAATGTGAAATATTGGTGTACAAGAGGAAGAGGCATTAGGTGAGTGGGATAAAGTTGGGTTAAAGAAACAGATGGAGGGAGATTTAAAAAAGGAGTTGTGAAAAGAAAAGCAGGAGACATTGGCAGTACATTAGCGACAGTGATCGAGTGGCCTTGAAACAGACTCAATTTTCCCTCGAGCGTGGAGGACAACCAACTGGGCAACCACTGAGTGAGCAGTGTCACCAACTGACTGTATGAGTGCAATACATTGATCTTGTCATATATGTCTGGGCTCATTGGGTAGTAATTTATGCGGTAAGAAAGAGTGTTTGTGTGTGTGTGTGTGTGTGTGTGTGTGTGTGTGAGAGAGAGAGAGAGAGAGAGAGAGAGAGAGAGAGAGAGAGAGAGAGAGAGAGAGAGAGAGAGAGAGAGAGAGAGAGAGAGAGAGAGAGAGAGAGAGAGAGAGAGAGAGAGAGAGTGTGTGTGTGAGAGAGAGAGAGAGAGAGAGAGAGAGAGAGAGAGAGAGAGAGAGAGAGAGAGAGAGAGAGAGAGAATGGGAGATGTTTTGGAAG